CACACACACACACACACACACACACACACACACACGGGATAACAGGCTTTGTGATGATCTGTCTCTCACTGAGGGTCTAAACTCACGGTGTGTAATTACCGTCAGCTCGGTGTGTTTCATGTCTGCAGGCGACAGGCGCTGTTTGAATCTGTAATTATCAAACAATCATTACTCACAGGGAGATTCGCTCTAAAATAAGATAACTTGCTGTCACTAAACGGGTCAGATGCTATTTTTAAATGACTGACAGGAACAAATTAAACCCGTGATGTAACAGAGTTGTGGATAATTGGGATGTCTTGACAAGTGAAACCAGGAAGTACACTTAAGACCCATCTCAGACTGTGATAGCTTTAAATGTCACTTCTACTACAATGTATTCTGTCATTTGTGTAATGTTTGTACACCAACCAAGTCCAACGCCTATCCAGAAGTGACCTCCAAAAGGCTGAAAGCTCTGGATGTTGAGGAACTGTGATAGTTTACATGTCTCTTTAACATTGCATGAAAGTTAAATCCAAGGAGCTGGAAAGGATGAAAAGGAGGGTCCGGCCAATAGTGGCCATGGTTCTCAGCAGGATATCGATGGACTGGAGTCGGGTATTAGTTCCAGTATCTCAAGGTCTTATCTTTAATGAGGGGGCAACGCAGTGTGAGATCGGACAGAGAATCGAAGCAGCAGCAGGAGTTTTAACGCACAGTCGTGATAAAGAGAGAGTTGGACCAGAAGCCAAAGCTCTCAGGCCTCTTCATTCCTACCCTTACCTTAATCAGAGGTAAGGGGAGGTAAGGGTAGGAACCATGGTTCTCAGCAGGATGCCGATGGACTGGAGTCGGGAATGATTCTTTACCCCAAGTAAAGGAGTTCAAGTATCTCAAGGTCTTGTTCTTTGCCTGAGAATCGGAGCAGTGGGAGCTTTACCGCACCACGGTAATAAAGATGGTCCACCGGTCAATCTTCATTCCTACCCTCACCTCGTCAAGAAGGGAAATGACCGAAAGAACAAGATCAAGAATACAAACGCCCAAAATGGGTTTTCTCCGGAGGGTGGCTGGCATCTCGCTTAGGGATAAGGGGAGAAGTTCAGTCATCAGGGTAGGATTGGGAGAACCGCTGCCAGTTGAGGAGGTTCGGCTGGGAGGGATTATGTCTCCATGCTGGACAGGGAGCGACTTGCAACCAGCTCTGACTGGGGGTCAGAGCTGGTTGATGTGGGCAGGGAAAGGGAAGTTTGGGGCCCTCTGCTGGAACTGCTTCCTCTCTTACCTGTGGGCATTTTGACGTATTTGTTTTATTCTAATACGCGTTAACATGCTCTGCCCCTATCAAATAAATAAATAACAAAGGCTGAAAATGTGCACAATATCACTTATAAAGTATAACAACAATGCTAATGTTAACAGCATGTTGTGTTTACTTCACATGTGAAGAGTGCATCATGTGTCTTTATTGATCAGATGGCTTCACGCATGGTTAAATGTGAGATCGATGGCTATATGGATGGATTGATAGATGTGAATAATTCACAGAATCAGAGCCCTGTGGTCCCGTCAGCTTCACACCATTACATTCCCCCTGGCAGGATCAATGTCATCACTGATAGGTCAGCGTATGGATCAGGCCTGAGGAAAATTTCCATGGTGCTGTAATGGGGCTCAGAGTGAACACTGACATGAACGCATTGATTTGTTTACGTACATCACCACCGTGTACACATCTGCTCTGTCTGAATGGAAACAACAACAGAGAGGTGGAAAACAAATGAGAGACATTAAAGAGTTCATGGAGTTAAATGTGAAAGCTGTGCTGTGCTCTGATTTAACATTCAGTATGTAGTGTCTCTACTTTAAAGAGTCCTCTCCTACTGATGTTCAGGTGTATATCAGTATGTAGTGTCTCTACTTTAAAGAGTCCTCTCCTGCTGATGTTCAGGTGTATATCAGTATGTAGTGTCTCTACTTTAAAGAGTCCTCTCCTGCTGATGTTCAGGTGTATATCAGTATGTAGTGTCTCTACTTTAAAGAGTCCTCTCCTGCTGATGTTCAGGTGTATATCAGTATGTAGTGTCTCTACTTTAAAGAGTCCTCTCCTGCTGATGTTCAGGTGTATATCAGTATGTAGTGTCTCTACTTTAAAGAGTCCTCTCCTGCTGATGTCCAGGTGTATATCAGTATGTAGTGTCTCTACTTTAAAGAGTCCTCTCCTGCTGATGTTCAGGTGTATATCAGTATGTAGTGTCTCTACTTTAAAGAGTCCTCTCCTGCTGATGTTCAGGTGTATATCAGTATGCAGTGTCTCTACTTTAAAGAGTCCTCTCCTACTGATGTTCAGGTGTATATCAGTATGTAGTGTCTCTACTTTGCAGAGACTTTTCAGACCATTTAAATGCACAAAAACACAGATGAACACACAGGTTACACAGATTTTACAGTTTAAATGAAAACCCACCAGTTTATATGTTCAGCTGTTTTAATATTTCAGCAGCTTTTCTGGTTTCCTCGTGTTTCTCTGTTTGTCTAGATGCCTGATCACACATCAGAGCTTCAAATCTCTGAGAACATCTGCTCCATCTGATCCTCATCAGACGCCGATCTGATGCCATTTACACAGATGTACAATCAGAGGAGAAAGCAAACAACATGAAGGGTCATTTCACAGAAACACAGAAACATCTGATGCAGACTTTCATCATCACTCGTCCAGACACAAGAAAGTCTGGACCAGTGAAACTCCCATTACCTCTTAAACTCTATACATTGTACAGGAACAATCTAAAAGTCCTATGAAGCAACAAATTATGGATTATTAGTGAATGCATATTTTTTATTATTAGGGAACACATTTTATTCTTTTTAAGGGAAAAGGTATAACTTACAAGGAAACTATTATTACAAATATTAGGGAATTTATATATATTTTTGAATTATTAGGGAACAAGTATTATAAATTATTAGAACACTAATGTACAAATATTAAAGGAATAAATGTTAAGAATAATATATATATTTTTTTAGGGAACTACCATTATTAATAACATGGTAAAAATTACATGAGTGATTATGAATTATTAATATTAAATTATTATGGAATTAATTTATTATAGCATATTTAATTTCAAAAAATGTAAACAATAATGAATAAAGAAATAAAGAATGAAATAATAACAAGCTCAAATGAAAACACGGTTAAGCTGGAGCACCTGCAAATGTATTATGAATTATAAGGAAACTATTATTACAAATATTAGGGAATTTATATATTGTGAATTATTAGAACAAGTATTATAAATTATTAGAACACTAATGCAAAAATAATTAAGCAATACATATTAAGAATAATGATTGTTTTAGGGAACTAATATTATTAATCACAATTACATGAGTGATTATGAATTATTCATATTAATGAAATTAATGTATTATAGCACTTTTCATTCACAAAACGCACAAACACAAAGTGCTTTAAAAATAAGAATAAAAACAAGAATAATAATTAGGAATTGTTCATATTAAATTACGATGGAACTAATTTATTATATCATATTTAAATAAAAAGAATGTAAACATTAATTATTTAATTAATTAAGAATAAAACGGTGCACATGGAGCCCTCAGTGACCCGTCAGTGAAACACAGACAGTGTTTTCTGTCTCTTTCAGCCCAGTTTAAAGCTGAGTTTAGTGTTGGTCCTGCAGAGCGCCGACTCACAGACATTTATGGCGTGATTCAGGTGGAGAGCAGACAGCGTCATCAGGCCAATAGGCTCCGGAAGAAAAAAATGGAAAAATAGAAATGTCCAACGAGGCGTTCTGGGGCAGCACAGACAGGTCTTTTCTGTGTTCGAGTTTTACTCGCTACAGGGTGTACTTTGAGGGTTTGTGACTCTGCAGACCGTGCGCATGCAGAAAAAGCTACATAACACACAAGGGGACGGGTAATAACCAGAAAAGCATGACATGGGCCCTTTAAGAACGATATTAAGTAATAAGTCTGGCAAAAATAACTGGTTTAAACTATTTATTCAAGCTTACAATCTTTTGAACAGACATCCCCAGTTAAGGCAGATGTGTCGGAGGCGTGGCCTTTGCGGACCGATACTCCACAAACAAGAAAATAATCGTTCTGATCTCTTCGCCTCTATCACAGTCATTTGTCGGTGTAAACATTAGGATGAGAACAGTTTGCTGGAACATTCATTACATGTGCGACTAGTGGCATTGCAAGTGGGCCGCCAAATAATTTCATTTTTTTTTCAATTTTATTAATTAATTAATTTTATTTTTACAGGCTTAAGACACAAACATGGACATAACAATAACCTATAGGAGATGACATTCCCATCTCAGACAAAAACAAAACAATAACAGGAGAAATAAAGATACAGTCAGTAGGATCACTTCAACATTTCACAAACAAAAATAGGTTGACAACCAAAAACACACATGGCATATTTACTGTTCCTTTGACCCCACTCTTCGTTAGAGCTCATTATTTCCCATTTCATGGCGTGTTGAGCCTTTGATTTTTGTGGCGGAAACATTTTCATTATTACGATTTATTTTAATTTCAACCTCCTTTGCTTTCTCTTTCTTGATCCTCCTTAGCAACGGTCATACAGTCCTTAGCAACGATCATTACAGTCCTTGACAGCGATTGTTCTGAACTTTATTTAGCCTCCGTATTGTTTATGGTTGAATGTGGGTGGGTCGTTAAACTATTAACTATAATAACTTTAATCTAAAACTTAACTAAAACAAATTGAACTATCTTAACTAAAAATTAACTGAAACAAGAAAACACATTTTAAATAAATCAAAGGAAACTTATCTTTAAAAACACACTATATAAACATCATAAAAATGTGATAAAACTATCAATTAAAACTTAACTCATTGAAAATATACTGACTTACTATTAACTATAATAACATTAACCTACAACTTAACAAAAACTAATTTAACTAGCTAACACTGAAAACTAAAACGTTGTGCCCGCTGCTCTTAAGGCGACCCAGTTCTCGGTGGATCCGATAACGCTAAGCTTCTGCGGCGCGGTGTAGGATGCTGCGACCGTTTGGGAGGCGGGTGAGGCACGAGTTTCACGGTGGGGATGGAAGGCAGGGGGACGGACTTTAGCATTTCTGGCACACATTTGGACTTGATGATGACACGATTTGGCCGAGGTTTGTAGCCGGAGAAACCCTGGTCCTTGGCGGTTTCCTCAGCGGGGTGTCTGGTCTTTTTGGAGATGGGGGGCAAGTGCATCTGCTGGTTCATGTCTCCAGACTCCGACTTCCTGACTTTCTCCGCCTGCCTCCTGGTCTCCTCTTTAGCCTTCAAGTGGTCCATCTTCTCGGTCTTTTTCTCCTCTTTCACTCTCTCGTTCTCCTCTTTAGCCTTCAAGTAGCCCATCTTCAGGGTCTTTTTCTCCTCTTTCACTCTCTCGTTCTCCTCCTTCATGTTGTCGTACTCCGCCTGGTACACCCCGAGGGTGCCCTTCACTGCCATCAGCTCTTTGCTCAGGCGCCTGTTGTCCCAGCCTAACTGCTGCATCTTCTGTATGGCGTCGTCCGGCCGGCGGGCCAACATGCGCCGGAGCTCCTCGATCACCTCGTCCTTTTTCTCCAGGAGAAGTACGCTCTGAAGTTTCCCGGTGAGCAAGTGGCGGTGCTGGGCCTTCATCACTTCCACATAGGCGTGAGGGCGCTTCTTCTTCTCCCGAGTCCACGCCCGCCGGGAAGTGTGTTTACTCGCACCCGGCACTTGCTTGAGCCTCTTCATCTCCAGCCACATTTGCCTTTTTTGGAGCTCATGCTCTTTGATGGTGAGTCTGTGCGCGTCCTGGCAGCTTCTCTCCTGGTTGAGTCTCAGCTGCAGCTGCACCACCATATCGTCTCGTGTCTGCAGCTCTTTCTCCAGCGTCTCCTTCTCCGTAGCCATCTTGACCAACTTCATCTCCCCCAGCATCTGGTCCCTGTCGGCAGAAACCACGCACGCGTCCTGCGTCATTTTGCTTTCCGCCAAATGCTGGCTGACTTTCTGCAGCTGGTTCTTCATGCAGCGCCTCTCCATCCCCAACCTGGCCAGCTTCACCCTCTGAACGTCGGTCTCGCAGGTCTGATCTTGGAGTTTCTCCTGCAGTTGTTGAATATTTTTGTTGAGCAAAGATTGCTGCACCTGTTCCTTAAGCTGGTTTTGCAGGAGGAGGTTTCTCTCCGCCTCCACACTGTCAGCATGGATGATCTTCAGCGTTAGCCTCTTCTCCAGATCTAACGTCAAGGCTCTCAGATGGATTATCTCTTGGCCATGGACGTTAGTGTTTTGCATCATCTTCCTCTCTTGATCGTGGAGTTTAATCTTCAGATCACGTTTCTGCTTCACTTCGAGCTCCATGTGTTTCACGAGGTTTCGCTCCTTCACCACCTCTTCTTCGTGCATTTCTGCTGCCGTTATGAGGTCTCTGTTTGCTTCCCGCAAGATTTCCATGTCGACTTCCAGGTTTGCATACTTATTTTCCCACCCCACTCTTTTATGCTCCCAGTGCGCTATCGTTGTGTGTAAACCATGTTCTGTGGTCCTGTGTACATCGTCCAGTCTTCTGTGTTTTTTCAGCTCCTCTGACTGTCTCTCACACTCGTGTTTCGCCACCTTCAGTTTTTCCCGGTAAGGTTTCAGACTCTCATAGCGTTGTTGGCATGTTAACGCAAACTCTTTCGATTTTTTTGCCTCCTTCTCAAAGGTTGCCACTTCCTTGTCCTTCTTCCTAAGCAGTTCTCGCTGCTCTTCTAATGTTTTGATGCTGAAGCATTTATAGCCGGTCAGCTCCTTCACATTATGAGACAGTTTCTCCACCTGCATATTCAGCATCCTGTTCTCCTTTTGATGGTTTCCAAACATTTCTGCTTCTTTCTCCTTCTGTTGGCGGAGAGACTTCTCCACACATAATTTGTTCTGATACTCCAGAGACTCTCTTTTGAAGAAGTACATTTTCTGCTCAGAGTCTTTCTTCTCACTCGCACTGACAGTCTCTAGATCCCTGTGTTCAACTTTCAACTTGTCCAGTTCCTCTCTCGTTTTTTCTAATGTGAACGTCTGATTTTTGACAGTATGCTTCAGCCCAGCGTTCTTCAGCTCCTCTTTCTTCAGATCCATCTCAGCTGTAACCATGGAAGAGATCTTCCTTTCCTGCTCTGCGTTCTGGTCCATCAGATGTTTCTCATTGATTTTGGCCCTGTGTATCTCATCCTGCAGGGCAACATTCCTGGCTTTAAGGTCGTTGGAGGGCTTCATTGTGACTTTGTGTCAGAGGAAATGATCCTGTGTTTGGTAAATCAGTCTCTGCCTGTGTTTCTGTGTGTATCTGCTGCCTGTGCACTGTGAAACTGAACCAGAACCTCACCTCACCTCAGCCTGCAGCTTTTAGTCTGTGATGTCATCGCATTCCGAGGCTTTGAAGATGGCATCACCATGGTTGCAATGGCTCGCAGTATATGATGTCATCACATTCTATCATGACATCACTGTCCCTTCATTAGTGGAGGGCAGTGGTATTATTGTTTTCATGATTTGAATCTGTGTATATAAAATAAGATCCCAATTTGGGACATTTCTGCGTTGCAGCAGCATAAAAAGACAAGGCATTGTACAAAACAAATTAAAAGACTAGAAAAATAAACACTCCAAAATATAAACATCTCAATAGAAATAAAATAGTAGTAGAAAATGTACATGTTGAATTACAAATGTTACATTAACAAGATATAAAGCAGGATAATATACATAAGTATGCGAGCAATGGCATATTGAATATTAGATTGAACGTAAATGTAAAATGTACAGTGTGAGTTTAAGTCCAGTTATCCAAGAGAATGTCTCTCTCTTTTACACTTTTACTTTTAATATAATTGCCTACATTTTGCTGTTAATACATACATCATTTTACTTAATTACGGTTTTAATTGCTTTATTTTTTGTAGAGTATTTTTGCGGTTTTGTATTTTTCTTCTTCTTCCACCAGATAAAACCCTCAGCTTTCTTCACGTGTTTATTCGTTGGCTTCTTTCGCCATCTAGTGGAAAACAGGCGAACAACACGTGTACTACAAGTGCTCCCTGATTGGCTTAAATTGCGATGTGCTGCTGTCTGATTGGCTGGTAACATTTGAACCGTCTAAAATCCGTCTTCCGTGTAGAAACAAACACATCTTAACGTTTCCCTCGTATCATTACAGTCTAAATACATAATGTAAATAAGATATTGTTCGTTATTAAAATATGTGTATTTTGTATGTATTATTTTAGAAGTATGTAAAGGGGTAAATACGTTCACTCTGTTTAGGAAGTGAGGCAAAAAGCCGTCAGTCCTCCGGAGGATAATAGAGGACGGACCGAGTCAGTTTATGGAGTTTCGAAGGATCAGTTTGTTGTGAGAGTTTTTATCCGAGGCTGTTTTTGGACAACATGGGAAACTTTGGAGTATTTGTGAGAACAGCTGTGGTTCTCCTGGTGTGCCAGCTGTTTGAGGTTCTGTGCGATATAACGGACGGGAACACGGAACATCTGAAGAGAGAACATTCATTAATGAAGCCTTACCAAGGTAACACTGTTAGCCTGTTAGCATGTTAGCTCCTCTGGGCTCTGGCACTGTCATTAAGAGACAAATACGACTTTTTAATGAAGTTATTACACATACAGAATGCTTTATTGTCTGTTAAATTTACCTGTAATGGACGTTTGTCTTCGGCACAGGCAAATCAGAATCACAATACCTTTATTCGTCTCTCAAAGGGGCCAAAGATAGCTTAACATAGATAAGATACACATATAAATTACACTGTTTACTAAATAAACATCTTAACTAGAAATGGGAGAAGTACTGAGATCTTGTACTTGAGTAAAAGTAGAAGTACTGAGATCTTGTACTTGAGTAAAAGTAGAAGTACTGAGATCTTGTACTTGAGAGTAAAAGTAGAAGTACTCAGATATTGTAGTAAAAGCAGAAGTACTCAGATCTAGTACTTGAGTATGTTTTATAATGATTGATCATGAAAGTGTTCTCAAAGCTGGTAAAGGTGCAGCTAGTTTGAATGACTTTGTATACTGCAGGGTAGCTTGTGGATTTACTCCAGGTGGAACTAAAGTCTGATTTAACACTTGATTATATTTCACATCATTCATCCACATCTGTGAAGTAACTAAAGGTATTAAATACATGTAGTGGAGGAAAAGTACACCATTTACCTCTGAACTGTAGAGGAGTAGAAGTATATATATATATATATATATATATATATATATATAACCTGAAAGACAGGTATTTCAGCCCCTTCATTCTTCACAGCATTGCTCGACCTGTTCAGCTTCATTTCTTATCATTAGGATAAAGCGACACTTAACGTCAGTCACCTCATGCTGTGAGACATCAGGCTTTTGTACCAAACAATCGAAGTTACTGAGACAACAAAATGCAGTTTATCATTTTAACAAAGTGCAAAAAGAGCTTCAGAGGAACGTCCTCTTAGTCTGACTCTTCGAATACTCTGTGAATAACTGAGCAATACTTGATCTCTCTGCTATCAAACTGCTTTAAACATGCCACACTAAATTATGTTATGCTACGTCTTGTTATCCACCTGGATGTGTACTCTTTTCAATTGTAATTTGTGTATTTCTATCTTTTAAAAGCTATTTCTTGCCTCTATGTGTTTGCTGTAATAATTCAAATGTCCCCCTAAATGTAATACATCTAAGACCTACAATTAAGAGTAAGGAGTAAAGGCAAGGCGACGTTTCAACACGAGGCTTTTCAAAGTGATTTACAATACATTGAAAGCATTAAAATTCATTAACAATCATTTAAAAGCCCAGAGAAAAACATATATAATACAGGTTTAAACACATGTCACAGAGCAGTGGGAGGTATGACTAGTTATTTGATTTTATATAATTATGCTAGAAGCTTTAGGTCATTTTCTAAAAGTGATGCAGGCTGTCTTTGTTTTAGAAGTGTAAATAAAAGTCCTTAACGACTGATTAGGTACAGATGAGGTGTAGTTGAAGAGCCACGTGTTTACACATTTGGATTTCAGTTGAATTTAGCAAACCCTGGCACACTTTAGTGGTACACTCTTATCTCTCGATCAGACCGCGAGCTGCAGGCGGCTGCAAGCGTTAGAGAGGAGCAGGTGTGCAGCTGAGGGAATATATAAATATATATATATATATATATATATATATATATATATATATATAGATTAACTATCTATATATATATATATATATATATAGATAGATTAACTATCTGTAATTGTATTTATAATCTGCAGAGGTAAGTCAGTACGCCTTCAGGAGGTGTTTGTTCAGGGCGTGTGCAGATGAAGGAAAACAGATCAGTTTCCTGTCGGTGAACTCTCAGCAGAACACCCTTACTGATGAGGAAACACTACATACTCACTAACAGTTATAAATACTTAAATACAGTTAAACATGCACATGATTGCATTCAAAAGAGCTCCAAGACGCAGTTAGATTGGATATAAAGCCATGTAAACCAGCTTATTTAATGTAGATCCATTACTAACGTGTATTCATTTATAATCTACAGAACTATTTCAAACAGCCGGTAAATACACATGACTCTGATAACCTGAGGTTTGAATGGCAATAACTCATCTGCAAAACAAGCGATCCTCACCCTGGCGTAATATCACCTAACATACTCTTAGAATAACAAATGGACCATTGACACACGTTGACTCAGAAAAAAAGAACCAGCATGTAAGTGAGTCCATTAGAGTTTAAAAACAACAAAACAACAATCATGTTCCTACAGACACTTTATTCATACCCTTTAAAATCTCTAATTATGTTTTTTATGGTAAATGGACTGTGCTTATATAGCGCTTTATCCAGTCTTTACGACCCCTCAAAGCGCTGTACATACTACATGTCATTCATACAGAGCAGTGTACCTTACTCTAGGACCTAACATTCACACAGAGCAGTGTACCTTACTCTAGGACCTAACATTCACACAGAGCAGTGTACCTTACTCTAGGAACTAACATTCACACAGAGCAGTGTACCTTACTCTAGGAACTAACATTCACACAGAGCAGTGTACCTTACTCTACGAACTAACATTCACACAGAGCAGTGTGCCTTACTCTAGGAACTAACATTCACACAGAGCAGTGTACCTTACTCTAGGAACTAACATTCATACAGAGCAGTGTGCCTTACTCTAGGAACTAACATTCATACAGAGCAGTGCACCTTACTCTAGGAACTAACATTCACACAGAGCAGTGTACCTTACTCTAGGACCTAACATTCACACAGAGCAGTGTACCTTACTCTAGGAACTAACATTCATACAGAGCAGTGCACCTTACTCTAGGAACTAACATTCACACAGAGCAGTGTACCTTACTCTAGGAACTAACATTCACACAGAGCAGTGTACCTTACTCTAGGAACTAACATTCACACAGAGCAGTGTACCTTACTCTAGGACCTAACATTCACACAGAGCAGTGTACCTTACTCTAGGAACTAACATTCACACAGAGCAGTGTACCTTACTCTAGGAACTAACATTCACACAGAGCAGTGTACCTTACTCTAGGAACTAACATTCACACAGAGCAGTGCACCTTACTCTAGGAACTAACATTCACACAGAGCAGTGTACCTTACTCTAGGACCTAACATTCATACAGAGCAGTGTACCTTACTCTAGGAACTAACATTCACACAGAGCAGTGTACCTTACTCTAGGAACTAACATTCACACACCGTTGGCCATCGGGAGCAACTCAGGGTTCAGTATCTTGCCCAAGGATACATCGACATGTTGGCTGCACGGGCTGGGATCGAACCCACAACCTTCTGGTTGAAAGACGACCGCACTCCCTCACAGCCACAGTCGCCCTTAAAGCAGTTCTATTCTACTCTATGAGGAAATGTCTCCTTTAATCTTTATATTTAGAGAGTGAGCAATGACGATGGTATTTAAATGTATGTAATCGTATTTCAGTGTGTAGTGCTTTCCTTCAGACACGTCTCTCAGCACTGAAGGTGTGAGGCGCTTCCTGTTGGAGCGTGTTTGCACAGGAACTGTTGAGCAAACTGGTTTTAGATCAGCTGATATGAAGCCGCCTGAAATCTGAAACAACCCGTTTCTGTGGAGACGTTTACGTGAGAAAACCACAGCCAGAAATCAACTTCTGTTTCAGTGAAAACTAGACAAGAAAACACCCGTTTCTCTCCTCTGTGACTTTTTCTATTCAAAGATTTCAAAGCTTTATTGTCGTAACAGTACAGTGTGGATATGGCAATGAAAATCTGAAGTCCCAGGCTCCTCCGAAAATCCTACATAAACAAATAATAATAATAATACATGACACTTATATAGCGCTTTTCTAAAAACTCAAAGACGCTTTGACAGAGAATAAAACAACCTATATATATAAACTGTCTGTCTAAGACCTAAAACAATAACATAGTGCACATTATGTTGCAACCAATGTTCCAGTAGTGCAGATGAAGTGAACTATATACATGTTGCAGAGAATGTTGTCAGTGAATAAGTGAATGCAAGTAGAGTAAACAGTGTGTTGTTGTTTACTTGTTGTGCTCAGGAGTGGGAAACAGCGCCTCCAGTCAGTGGGACTTCTGGGGCAGCACGCTGGTGACGAGCTCGTACGTTCGCCTGACTTCGGACGAGAAGAGCAAGCAGGGCTCCATCTGGAACACTGTGGTGAGGAAACACTGCACACACACGTCCAATCTGAAGATACTGGCATTTATACACGTCCACACTCAGTCATTAAGAATTAGAAAAAGGGCTTTTAAGGGGTTGAAAATGAGTGGAAATACCTGGAAAATATCATTGAAAAAGTGGTTAACGCTCCCTTTCTTTACGTGTTTGGCTCAGCTGTTTTCTGTTTTTGGTAAAAATGCTTTTAACACATGAACCCTGTGCTCCACAATCAATACATACATGCATGTTTGTGTCATGACAAGCTAAGCTATCAGCATATGTAGGCTGCAGCGATGTCACCTGGATGTACAAATAGTTAGACCATATGTACAAAAGAAAAAACAAGACGGAAATGTTTTCACTCAGAAATGTAAGTAAGTAAAGTTTATTTATAAAGCGCTTTTCACAGACAAAGTCACAAAGTGCTTGACAAAACAATAATACATCCACATAGGAGGCGTACAATGATCAATAAACCCACATGTTAAGAAGTCACAAAAGCACCAAATGTCTTAAAATCCCAGGAACAGCCTCTGATTGGTCAACAGCCAACTTCATGGGATGCCTAATTAGATCTTTATCTAACTCCTAACACATCTAAATCTGCTTCTAACATGGATAAATGTTCATAAAACACAATCCATTGTTTGTTTATACGCTTCTTGAAATCCCTAGACAACATCGTTTTTCTAGAATAGATTTCAAATCGCCTGAAAATGTTAAAAACAAGCAGCGCCGTGTGTGGCGACCTCAAAGGGTTATTAACAAGGGTCCTGGAAGGTCAAAGGAACCCTCAAATGGTGTATTATGAAGTGTTGTTCATCATGTCAGAATAATTCAATCACTCAGAATCAGCTTTTTCTTAGTTTTTTCTAGAATATCACGATCAAAAAGCGCTGATCCGATGAGATCCCCACATTTTCTTATATTGATGTTTCCTCTGTTTCTGGACAGGATTCAAACAATTCAAAATGAAGTAACTGTTGAAACAAGATGTCACGCTAACACGTTGGTCATTTGAATGAACATACCTGGATGCACACATTTGGATGTTAAATATATTTACATGAGAGTGCAGGTTCAAGTTTTGGTATGTGGCATTTAGTCTCCTGTTCCTTTGCTTTGAAAACCCCTCTGATGAACTCCTGCTGCTGTGATAGAAAGTAAATCTCTCTCTCTCTCTCTCTCTCTCTCTCTCTCCCTCTCCCTCTCCCTCTCCCTCTCCCTCTCTCTCTCTCTCCCTCTCTCCTCTCTTTCTGTCTCTCTGTCTGTCTGTCTGTCTGTCTGTCTGTCTCTCTGTCTGTCTGTCTGTCTGTCTGTCTGTCTGTCTCTCTCTCTCTCTCTCTGTCTCTGTCTCTCTCTCTCTCTTTCTGTCTCTCTGTCTGTCTGTCTGTCTGTCTGTCTGTCTGTCTGTCTGTCTGTCTGTCTGTCTGTCTCTCTCTCTCTGTCTCTCTCTCTCTCCCTCTCTCTCCCTCTCCCTCTCCCTCTCTCTCTCTCTCTCTCTCTCCCCCGCCCCCTGTGCAGCCGTGCCACCTGAAGGACTGGGAGATGCACGTCCAGTTTAAGATCCACGGCTCGGGGAAGAAGAGTCTGCACGGAGACGGCATCGCCCTGTGGTACACCAAAGATAAACTGCACCCAGGTACACCCATCCTACCCATAATGCACCTGTCTCTCCTGCAGCTTCCCCCCTTCACTTTGGCGTCTTTTAAAAAAAAAACATTAGTACCATGCAACGTCTTTATGTTCCTCTTATATATATTTTTACTATGTCTTATTTTTAGAGTAACCCTGATCTGAAGCTCCTGTCCTTTTCTTGAGATTGTACAGAGATCATTACTCAGTTAGGAAACTCTCCCTAGTCCCCGGTTTGAGCTTCAACCTCAGGATCCATGTATCTGTGATCCTCTCCAGAATGGAAGTAGTCATCACATACAGAGCATCAACTAGTTCCTGAACAGTGTCCTTCACATGCTGATATCCAAGAGAGGGAGTTACACAGTCACAAGATGGAGGAATAGAAAGCAGTATTCAATGTTTACTTCAGATTAGCTCCACGTCAGAAATGAGCATGCTTGTCATATGTCTATCTCCATAGAGGCTGAATCATCATGTTAATCACATAGCTATCATATGCCTCAAACAGTCCTGATGCTCTTCTAGGTAATCATACATCCTGTCATGCACACAGCTACAGTTGGGATACCTTTGTTATCATGTTACTCTCATGTTGGAAGAGGACATTCAGGATTTTCCCCACACCTCCATCAGTGTTTTAGTTTCCATCCTGTTGATGTGTGTGTCTCGCCTCACGTCTCGTCTCTGCTCCACCTTCAGGCCCTGTGTTTGGAAACCAAGATCAGTTTATTGGCCTGGCTATTGTTGTGGATACCTTCCGCAATGACCTCCATGGGATGGATGTAAGTGTGTGTGTGTGTGTGTGTGTGTGTGTGTAACCTGCTTGTCTCTTTGCAGGCCCTGTGTTTTCCAACAATGCTCAGTTCCACGGGCTGGCTGTGTTTGTAGATACTTACTCTAACGATGATGCCACAGATGTGAGTGTGTGCTCCGGTTCTCCGTCAGCATGCTTCACTCCACCCTGAATGGCATGTTGTTAGCATGTTTACATCGTAAGGCACACAGAAAGACATATATACACTTAGAGAATCTAATATTGATCAATATCTGATAGTAGACTTGCAGGGATACTCAACTTGCTTTGCCCTGGGTTCACTTTTTACAAAATAAAACAGCACTTCACAATCGTATGAATCAAATATGGAGGTCGACAGAAAGGATGCAGATATAAAAACCCAAATGTTCCACATGAAGAAACATCTCCAGCAACTTGACAACACATGCAGCGTTTAGAGAACATTCAGCAACTTGAGGAGACGTGCGCAGCGTTTACTAAAAGCTGCTGAAACCAAACGCTGCAAGAAGCTCAAAACACAACGGAGACCACAAAAGTATTTCTATGAGATTCGAATCATCATATTTTCTGCAACATACTTTTACTAGACAAACGGCCTTTGAGATAAACAAGCTTAATAGGTCTATTTTGTTACACCTTGTTTCCAATTAAAGTACAACAATAGTAGAGACAATGGTCAGGAGGCTGTGAGTTGAGTATCACTGGTTTGATGTGTTGTTTTGTGAATGAAGCTACGCTCACACTGCAGCGGAGGAGACACATCCTCTGCTTCATAGATCCACATGGGACTAAATCCCTAGTTCAATTATGAATTCACACATACCGTAACCAAACCTTCAGGAACAAGTGGGACGAAGTTAAGAAAACAAACGTCCGTTTTTCTAGCTCTGAAAGCAAATGAATATCATCCATAACATCAGAAGAGCCTGCTTTGTGAAGGGAGCCTCTGTGTGTCTATAAACACAACCCTCATGTGATTCTTATATCTCTGTTCATTTGTACGTTACCTTACTTTAAGAACATGCAGATAATTCCCCGTTTAGTTACGTTGGTCGATGCTTCACCTCAAATGTATCGTATCATTCTTATATTCCTGTATTCATTTGTACGTTAGCTTTTATCAAAGGTCACCTATTATGCAACATCCACTTCTTCATGTCTCTTCTTCATCAACATGTGTCCCCTCTTCTTCATGTCTCTTCTACATCAACATGTGTCCCCTCTTCTTCATGTCTCTTCTACATCAACATGTGTCCCCTCTTCTTCATGTCTCTTCTACATCAACATGTGTCCCCTCTTCTTCATGTCTCTTCTACATCAACATGTGTCCCCTCTTCTTCATATCTCTTCTACATCAACAGGTGTCCCCTCTTCTTCATGTCTCTTCTACATCAACATGTGTCCCCTCTTCTTCATGTCTCTTCTACATCAACATGTGTCCCCTCTTCTTCATGTCTCTTCTACATCAACCATGTGTCCCCTCTTCTTCATGTCTCTTCTACATCAACATGTGTCCCCTCTTCTTCATGTCTCTTCTACATCAACATGTGTCTCTCTTCTTCTTCAATGTCTCTTCTACATCAACATGTGTCCCCTTCTTCTTCATGTCTCTTCTACATCAACATGTGTCCCCTCTTCTTCATGTCTCTTCTACATCAACATGTGTCTCCCCTCTTCTTCATGTCTCTTCCTACATCAACATGTGTCCTCTCTTCTTCATGTCTCTTCTACCTCAACATGTGTCCCCTCTTCTTCATGTCTCTTCTGCATCAACATGTGTCCCCTCTTCTTCATGTCTCTTCTCATCAACATGTGTCCCCTCTTCCTTCATGGTCTCTTCTACAATCAACATGTGTCCCCTCTCTTCATGTCTCTTCCACATCAACACGTGTCCCTCTTCTTCATGTCTCTTCTACATCAACATGTTTCCCCTCTTCTTCATGTCTCTTCTACATCAACATGTGTCCCCTCTTCTTCATGTCTCTTCTACATCAACATGTGTCCCCTCTTCTTCATGTCTCTTCTTACATCAACATGTGTCCCCTCTTCTTCATGTCTCTTCTACATCAAATGTGTCCCCTCTTCTTCATGTCTCTTTCTTCTCAACATGTGTCCCCTCTTCTTCATGTCTCTTCTACATCACCATGTGTCCCCATCTTCTTCATGTCTCTTCTACATCAACATGTGTCCCCTCTTCTTCATGTCTCTTCTCTTCTACATCAACATGTTCCCCTCTCTTCATGTCTCTTCTTCATCAACATGTGTCCCCTCTTCTTCATGTCTCTTCTACATCAACATGTGTCCCCTCTTCTTCATGTCTCTTTCTTCATCACATGTGTCCCCTCTTCTTCATGTCTCTTCTTCATCAACATGTGTCCCCTCCCTCTTCTTCATGTCCTTTCTTCATCAACATGTGTCCCCTCTTCTTCATGTCTCTTCTTCATCAACATGTGTCCCCTCTTCGTCATGTCTCTTCTACATCACCATGTGTCCCCTCTTCTTCAGGTCTCTTCTACATCACCATGTGTCCCCTCTTCTTCATGTCTCTTCTACATCAACATGTGTCCCTCTTCTTCATGTCTCTTCTTCATCAACATGTGTCCCCTCTTCTTCATGTCTCTTCTACATCAACATGTGTCCCCTCTTCTTCATGTCTCTTCTTCATCACCATGTGTCCCCTCTTCTTCATGTCTCTTCTTCATCAACATGCGTCCCCTCTTCTTCATGTCTCTTCTTCATCAACATGTGTCCCCTCTGTGTAAAGAGACTCTGAAAGTTTCAGGAACAAAGATTCTCTCTCTTTTTGTCCTGATCCATTTCTATAAAAACCTGTCTGAAAATGAGCTGATCAGATTTTGGACACTTTATGATGTCATAACGATGTGTTGTCTTGTGTAACCATTAGCCAATCAGCAACCAAGGTAACCCCCCCCCCCCCCCCCCCCTTATCACCTGAATCTCCTCCTAGAGCACCATTGAGTTCTTTGTAACCAAATCTCTCTCAGAGGGGCGTGGGGAGGGGCTCCTTATTTTCATCTAAAGTAACAGACAGAGAATCAGCTCTTTGGAAACAGGGCAGAAACAGAGGGGATTATGGGTAATGCTGCAATGATCTGTTTGGTGTTTCAGAGACAGGCTCTGTATATATCTGAGACCTGTAGTATATTGATGAGAAACAGTATGATAGGGGACCTTTAAATAATATGCACGTTTATAGCTGCTCTCCTGTGTGTGCAGCGCTCCTTCCCCTTCATCTCTGCGATGGTGAACAACGGCTCGGTGAACTATGACCACGGGAAAGATGGCCGCGCCTCGGAGCTGGGGGGCTGCTCGGCTGAGATCAGAAACAAAGATCACGACACGTACCTCGCCATCAGATACTCTAAGGGGAGGCTCACCGTATGTACACACACACACACACACACATACACACACACAGGGCCGGCCCTTGGCATAGGCAGTATAGGTGAATGCTAAGGGCGCATCAACCTATGGGGGGGGCGCCAACATTTTTTATTTAAATTAAAAATATATATATATATTAAATGTTTTTTATTTCAATTTCATAACAAAACAATTTCCCGATTTTGGATCAACAAAGTACATCCTATCATCTTATACTTCCAGAGGTTTGTGTGAAATTGTTCTTTTTTTGAAATAATGTTTTTTGTGTGCAATTAGGCTATAGGTTTTAATTTTGTATTTGTGTTAATTTAAAATAGAGGGGGGGGTGCCAGCTAAAATCTTGCCTCGGGCAGCAAATTGGTCAGGGCCGGTTACCACGCACACACACCACGCACACACACCACGCACACACACCACGCACACACACCACGCACACACACCACGCACACACACCACGCACACACACACTACGTACACACACTATACACGTACACACACTATACACGTACACACTACGTACACACACACTACGTACACACACTATACACGTACACACTACGTACACACACACTACGTACACACACTATACACACACACTACACACACATACTACATACACACACTACATACACACGTACACACACACGTACATACACACACACACACTATGTACACACACGTAGTACGCACACACACTACGTCCACACACTACGTACACACACTACATACTTTTAAAGTAGATAATTATTTAGTATTTGAAAGCGGTGTTCCAGTCCATGAAACTATTGGTTTATAGCTGAAAGGCGTGCTCGAGACAGAATGAATGAATGCCATTGGGTGCCCAGTCAGCATTTAGCTGGACTTAAATATAATAATAATCCTAACATATAAAGAACATATATGAAGTTAAAACATAATTATGATGTCAGATTGAGTACAGTATGATATGGCATCAACACGTAGGAAATCAAGTCCTCTTTGCAAAAATGTCAATCAAATAATTGCTAAACATGAGAGTAAATATGAGCTCAAAAACACAACAAAACAAACATCGGGAACAAAAAAAGTTGTCAGCTAGTAAATATATTTAGTTGTTAGTTAGTCCCGTGTTATATTGCATCTCTTGCATCTCTCTCCTGCAGCTGATGATCGACGTGGAGGATAAGAACGAGTGGAGAGAGTGCATCGATATCGGAGGAGTGAGACTTCCCACCGGATATTTCTTCGGAGCGTCAGCAGCTACAGGAGATCTGTCAGGTGGGTCTGAGCGCCAGAGGGGGGAGTAGTGGAGTACAAATACTTTGTTACTGCACTGAAGTACATGTTTCTGGTATCAGTACTTTACTCCACTACTTATTTTTCTGACCACTTTTTACTTTGACTTCTTACATGTTGAACCCAAATACCTGTACTTTCTACTTCTTACATGTTGAACACAAATACCTGTACTTTCTACTTCTTACATGTTGAACCCAAATACCTGTACTTTCTACTTCTTACATGTTGAACCCAAATACCTGTACTTTCTACTTCTTACATGTTGAACACAAATACCTGTACTTTCTACTTCTTACATGTTGAACCCAAATACCTGTACTTTCTACTTCTTACATGTTGAACACAAATACCTGTACTTTCTACTTCTTACATGTTGAACACAAATACCTGTACTTTCTACTTCTTACACTTTGAACCCAAATACCTGTACTTTCTACTTCTTACATGTTGAACACAAATACCTGTACTTTCTACTTCTTACATGTTGAACACAAATACCTGTACTTTCTACTTCTTACATGTTGAACACAAATACCTGTACTTTCTACTTCTTACATGTTGAACCCAAATACCTGTACTTTCTACTTCTTACATGTTGAACCCAAATACCTGTACTTTCTACTTCTTACATGTTGAACACAAATACCTGTACTTTCTACTTCTTACATGTTGAACACAAATACCTGTACTTTCTACTTCTTACACTTTGAACCCAAATACCTGTACTTTCTACTTCTTACATGTTGATCTCAAATACCTGTACTTTCTACTTCTTACATGTTGAACCCAAATACCTCTACTTTCTACTTCTTACATGTTGAACCCAAATACCTGTACTTTCTACTTCTCACATTTCCCAAACAGGCTGGTTCCTTTAGTTTGAATGTGTGTTTGGTGGCGTGATCATTATTATTTAGAGTCATTGCGTGCCTATTGATTTGAACACGATCCGTGTATCCATCATTTCCTGGTCTTCTCTAAAGAAGAGGGACCAATGAAAACGTTGTCATGTTGCCGTTGTTCAGCATGGAAACATTCATTAGCTAACAATGACATTATTGTTCTATTAATATAAAGGGAGGTCAGGTACTCTTTAAAACAGCTGCTAGTTATGGGTACTTTTTACTGAAGTACATTTCAAAGCCCTCTTTACTTTGACTTGAGTAAAGAAGTTTAGTCAGTACTTCTACTTTCACCAGAGTATTTTTAAACACGAGTATCTGTACTTCTACTTGAGTAAAGGATGTGTGAACTTTGGCCGACTAGGAACTTTAAATACTTTAAATATAAGTTCACTGTGGAGGAAATTCTTAAGAGAAAGTGATAAATGCTTCATGGACAAAGTTTGTCTTTTGTTATATTTAATAAAGTAGTAAAGAAAGTCAATATAAAGTGAGATGGATCTGAAATGCAGGAACAGAGCAGCTTCACCCTCAGAGGATAAAGAAGTTCTGCTCAAAGTCTCTCTGTGTATTCATGAGAGGAAACAGCTGCTCCTCCATCCCATCATCAAACCATCTAACCCCCTCGTCTTTAACCTCCTTTCACACTTCCTTTGCCCCCTGAAATGTAAAACCTTAAAGGTCCCATGTCATGGCCATTTCTACTGATCATAATTCCATTGCTGAGGTCTACTAGAATAGATGTACATTGTTCAATGTTCCAAACTCACATTGGTTTCTCATACAGCATCTCTGTATAGTATGTGTATTCACTCTCTGTCCTAAACGGCTCGTTGGAGCTCCTGCCCCCCCCCCCTCCCTGTGAGCCCAGTGGGTTCTGATTGGTCGGGACGTTGATACAGCGAGAACAAGCGAAACTCATCCTGAGCACACACAAACACTCACAGCCGAAGTAAAAAGTGTGGCTTGATATTGAGTAAGAAAAAGGTTTATAACGCTGTGAGAATGGGTCTGCGGAGAGCATTTCTCCGCCATCCCAACGTAGTAGCCCGAAAAACGTTTACCCATTTAAACAGTCGTGGTAGATACCTTGTTTGTTTTAAACATCATAAATACACAAACAACAATGAATACTTACAGGTTGTGTACCCCGAACTCCCGCTGGTCCAAACAAAGTAGGAACAGCGTCGTTCTTCAGTGCCCTACGCTGTACATATCCGGCATGAATCTGAAAGGTTTTGGAAGCTTTGTTTTTCGTGAAAGGCTGGCAGAGGGTGCGGCCTCTGGGTGTTCACACGTCACTGTACCCAGGAAGAACATGAGAAATGTCCAACGAGGCGTTCTGGGGCAGCACAGACAGGTCTTCTCTGTGTTAGAGTTGTACTCGCTACAGGGTGTACTTTGAGGGTTTGTGACTCTGCAGACCGTGCACATGCAGAAGCTTCATAACAACAAGGGGACGGGTGATAACTGGAAAAGCATGACATGGGACCTTTAACATCTGTCTCTGTTAAACACATACAAGACTAACAATACACAAAGGCAATCAGAGTATAAGACTGTTTTAAATGATTATCTGATCATTTGACACTGGTGACAATGTGGCACTGTTTTAACATTATTCTACAAAGTCTGGGTGTGTATTGATTCGGTAATAGTTTGAACGCTTGTTTTATTTTCCAGATAACCATGACATCATCTCTATGAAGATGTACCAGCTGATGGTGGAACACACGCCTGAAGAAGAGAATGAGGACTGGACGAAAATAGAGCCGAGCGTCAGCCTCCTGAAGTCCCCCAAAGGTAGAGAAAAGTACTCTTTAAAGTAGAGACACTACATACTGATATACACCTGAACATCAGCAGGAGAGGACTCTTTAAAGTAGAGACTCTACATACTGATATACACCTGAACATCAGCAGGAGAGGACTCTTTAAAGTAGAGACACTGCATACTGATATACACCTGAACATCAGCAGGAGAGGACTCTTTAAAGTAGAGACACTACATACTGATATACACCTGACCATCAGCAGGAGAGGACTCTTTAAAGTAGAGACACTACATACTGATATATACCTGCACATCAGCAGGAGAGGACTCTTTAAAGTAGAGACACTACATACTGATATACACCTGAACATCAGCAGGAGAGGACTCTTTAAAGTAGAGACACTACATACTGATATACACCTGAACATCAGCAGGAGAGGACTCTTTAAAGTAGAGACACTACATACTGATATACACCTGAACATCAGCAGGAGAGGACTCTTTAAAGTAGAGACTCTACATACTGATATACACCTGAACATCAGCAGGAGAGGACTCTTTAAAGTAGAGACACTGCATACTGATATACACCTGAACATCAGCAGGAGAGGACTCTTTAAAGTAGAGACACTACATACTGATATACACCTGAACATCAGCAGGAGAGGACTCTTTAAAGTAGAGACACTACATACTGATATACACCTGACCATCAGCAGGAGAGGACTCTTTAAAGTAGAGACACTACATACTGATATATACCTGCACATCAGCAGGAGAGGACTCTTTAAAGTAGAGACACTACATACTGATATACACCTGAACATCAGCAGGAGAGGACTCTTTAAAGTAGAGACACTACATACTGATATACACCTGAACATCAGCAGGAGAGGACTCTTTAAAGTAGAGACACTACATACTGATATACACCTGAACATCAGCAGGAGAGGACTCTTTAAAGTAGAGACACTACATACTGATACACACCTGAACATCAGCAGGAGAGGACTCTTTAAAGTAGAGACACTACATACTGATATACACCTGAACATCAGCAGGAGAGGACTCTTTAAAGTAGAGACACTACATACTGATATATACCTGAACATCAGCAGGAGAGGACTCTTTAAAGTAGAGACACTACATACTGATATACACCTGAACATCAGCAGGAGAGGACTCTTTTAAGTAGAGACACTACATACTGATATATACCTGCACATCAGCAGGAGAGGACTCTTTAAAGTAGAGACACTACATATTGATATATACCTGAACATCAGCAGGAGAGGACTCTTTAAAGTAGAGACACTACATACTGATATACACCTGAACATCAGCAGGAGAGGACTCTTTAAAGTAGAGACACTACATACTGATATACACCTGAACATCAGCAGGAGAGGACTCTTTAAAGTAGAGACACTACATACTGATATACACCTGAACATCAGTAGGAGAGGACTCTTTAAAGTAGAGACACTACATACTGATATATACCTGAACATCAGCAGGAGAGGACTCTTTAAAGTAGAGACACTACATACTGATATACACCTGAACATCAGCAGGAGAGGACTCTTTAAAGTAGAGACACTACATACTGATATACACCTGAACATCAGTAGGAGAGGACTCTTTAAAGTAGAGACACTACATACTGATATACACCTGAACATCAGCAGGAGAGGACTCTTTAAAGTAGAGACACTACATACTGATATACACCTGATCATCAGCAGGAGAGGACTCTTTAAAGTAGAGACACTACATACTGATATACACCTGAACATCAGTAGGAGAGGACTCTTTAAAGTAGAGACACTACATACTGATATACACCTGAACATCAGCAGGAGAGGACTCTTTAAAGTAGAGACACTACATACTGATATACACCTGAACATCAGCAGGAGAGGACTCTTTAAAGTAGAGACACTACATACTGATATACACCTGAACATCAGCAGGAGAGGACTCTTTAAAGTAGAGACACTACATACTGATATACACCTGAACATCAGCAGGAGAGGACTCTTTAAAGTAGAGACACTACATACTGATATACACCTGAACATCAGCAGGAGAGGACTCTTTAAAGTAGAGACACTGCATACTGATATACACCTGAACATCAGCAGGAGAGGACTCTTTAAAGTAGAGACACTGCATACTGATATACACCTGAACATCAGCAGGAGAGGACTCTTTAAAGTAGAGACACTGCATACTGATATACACCTGAACATCAGCAGGAGAGGACTCTTTAAAGTAGAGACACTACATACTGATATACACCTGAACATCAGCAGGAGAGGACTCTTTAAAGTAGAGACACTGCATACTGATATACACCTGAACATCAGCAGGAGAGGACTCTTTAAAGTAGAGACACTACATACTGATATACACCTGAACATCAGCAGGAGAGGACTCTTTAAAGTAGAGACACTACATACTGATATACACCTGACCATCAGCAGGAGAGGACTCTTTAAAGTAGAGACACTACATACTGATATATACCTGCACATCAGCAGGAGAGGACTCTTTAAAGTAGAGACACTACATACTGATATACACCTGAACATCAGCAGGAGAGGACTCTTTAAAGTAGAGACACTACATACTGATATACACCTGAACATCAGCAGGAGAGGACTCTTTAAAGTAGAGACACTACATACTGATACACACCTGAACATCAGCAGGAGAGGACTCTTTAAAGTAGAGACACTACATACTGATATACACCTGAACATCAGCAGGAGAGGACTCTTTAAAGTAGAGACACTACATACTGATATATACCTGAACATCAGCAGGAGAGGACTCTTTAAAGTAGAGACACTACATACTGATATACACCTGAACATCAGCAGGAGAGGACTCTTTAAAGTAGAGACACTACATACTGATATATACCTGCACATCAGCAGGAGAGGACTCTTTAAAGTAGAGACACTACATACTGATATACACCTGAACATCAGCAGGAGAGGACTCTTTAAAGTAGAGACACTACATACTGATATACACCTGAACATCAGCAGGAGAGGACTCTTTAAAGTAGAGACACTACATACTGATATACACCTGAACATCAGCAGGAGAGGACTCTTTAAAGTAGAGACACTACATACTGATATACACCTTAACATCAGCAGGAGAGGACTCTTTAAAGTAGAGACACTACATACTGATATACACCTGAACATCAGTAGGAGAGGACTCTTTAAAGTAGAGACACTACATACTGATATACACCTGAACATCAGCAGGAGAGGACTCTTTAAAGTAGAGACACTACACACTGATATACACCTGAACATCAGCAGGAGAGGACTCTTTAAAGTAGAGACACTACAAACTGATATACACCTGAACATCAGAGGAGAGGACTCTTTAAAGTAGAGACACTACATACTGATATACACCTGAACATCAGCAGGAGAGGACTCTTTAAAGTAGAGACACTACATACTGATGTACACCTGAACATCAGCAGGAGAGGACTCTTTAAAGTAGAGACACTACATACTGATATACACCTGAACATCAGGAGGAGAGGACTCTTTAAAGTAGAGACACTACATACTGATACACACCTGAACCTCCTTAAGCTAAGCTCTGTATCTTACTTTGATCCTCACAGATAACATTGACGATCCCACTGGAAATTTCCGTGGTACGCCCCTCACTGGGTGGAAAGTGTTTCTCCTTCTTCTCTGCGCTCTGCTGGGAATCGTAGTGTGCGCCGTGGTGGGAGCGGTGGTTTTCCAGAAGAGACAGGAGAGGAACAAGAGGTTTTACTGAGCAGAGAAACAACGTCCTGTTCGATGTGGAATGAACTGTTTCCAGACGACAGCTTGAGCACAGTCAATGTGAATTATTTTCTAAAGATTGTACAAATGTTTATATCCTCGAAGCTCTGTGGTGACGTTCTGTTGTCGCTAAGGAGGTGTTGAGGCCGTGATCAATGCTGTTTCAGTTTCTTACGCCACAAATCTGGTCTTCTTCGTCTTCCAGGCTGTTTTAACAGATTATTTATTGGGTGAAGAAAAAGGCTCACACGTGAATTATCCACTTTCCCCCCGTGGTTCCTCTATCGATGGAGTTTGATTTCCTGCTTGTTCACCCTGCTATCATGCTTCTGTTTAATCATCACTGATAACCCCTTACACACAGACCACCAAGGCGGCATCTGAGGACAGTTTAAAGGGTCAATTAGCATCTTAGTTAATCATTTAGTCCAGAACATATCAAATCATTTCACCGAAAACCTGTTCAAATTCGCTCAGAATGCAATATCATTTTTTATCTAAAAAGTAAGAAACTGGAACTAGATTGTTATTATAATGTTTGCTTTATTAACAATTGAATCATATTATATGTTTTCGATGCAGTTGCTGATCAATCAATCAATCTATCTATCTACTCTTATGAAATGAGAAACCCCAGCAGATACTAAGCAAATATACATCATGTGAAATGTAATTTGCTGATGTTTAGTTATTAACTTAAATCATAAAACCGTCTGAGGGGCTCTGATAAACCCTTAAAACTACACTTCATGTTTAATTGTACAAATAAATATCAGACTGTAGTTAGAAAGAGAGTTTAAAGCTTTAAACGCGGGCAGAACGTTGTTATAGAGAGCGGCAAATCTGCATGAATCTGATCATGTGATCTGTGCGGTGTTATGACTCAAACGGTAACAATTAGCCTCATGCTATTATATTTAAGGTTTGCTATATACTCTAGTTATCAGCATAGTGAACTCAGAAATGTCCAGTACCCCAAAGTTTTATGATAGAAATGTACAGTTGGGTCTCCAGCTCATAGAAACTGCCGGATGCTAACCTGCATATGTTGGGCAATTAGCACAATTAGCATAAGTTGCATTGATTTGTTGTGTTTTTTTTAGGTATATTGAGGATGTTGAATTAATTTCTGACATTGTTAGGGTCATAAATGGCAGTTTTGAGTCGCCTAACACTTTAAAATCGACCTAAAATGCATCAAAATCAGCCCCTGGAGTACAAATATAACCACTTTCTGGTTAAAACTGAAATTTGCTGATCCTGGAAATGTCAGAAATGGATTCAACATCCTCAACTAGCGTATTGGCATAAGTTGCATTTATTAGCATTGATTTGGACAGTTTTGGAGTTGTTTTTGAGGTACACTGAGGATGCTGAAACCATTTCTGACATTTTTAGGGTCATAAATGGCACTTTTTAGTCGCCTAACACTTTAAAATTGACCCAAAATGCATAGAAATCTTCCCCCTGGAGAACAAATATGGTCACTTTCTGGTTAAAACTGACATGTTTGATTCTGGAAATGTCAGAAATGGACTGGACATCTTCGTTTACCTCCATAAACACTCCAAAACGTTTGAACTGTATTTGCGAAATAACCCAATTGATGCTAATTGCCCAACATATGCAGGTACTGTATACATCCGGCAGTTCCTATGAGCTGGAGACCTGTACTATACATTTATCATATATAAGACGTTGGTACTCACAACATGAACTCTGTGATCTGCAAACAGACCAATAATCTGAACGCTGTTTTGTGAAATCCTTCCTTATAACCACATCTTCAGAAAAAGGCCACTTTTAAAGAGTTGCATCTGAACTGCTCCAACATATTTGATCTTCTTATTCGTTCCCCTCTCAGCGTTGGTTCAGCACGATTTCCTCCAGAATATGCCTTTTGTTATTTTTCTACGTGTTTGTTTCCAGCTGTTTTAAAAATGCCTGAATAAAATGTAGTATAATTAATATTAATATTAGAAATCAAGTTGCTGAATCCTGAAGTCCATGAATGCATCGCTGCAGTTTCTTTTTACTGACTTGTTTGTTTACTTGATGATTTCTTCCAGCTTCCTATTCTTCGTCTTTTTGTAGAATGTTTTACAGAAACTGAAATGAAGGGTTTGTTGACACGGGCTGAAATACACATTTTCTTTTTTTAAACTTGAGTTATCTCTTCTCCTGTGTTCTTGAATCTGTCCTGTGTTTCTGTCAGATCAGACGTGTCTATTGTTGTGATGGGACTTGAAATCGCTCCTCTCAGCAGAAATAATTCATTAAATGAAAAAAGAAATAGTTTGAGTTGTAATTTTTTTATGTTTTACCAGCGTTTAATTAACTTAATGATGAATTTTCTAGAAGTAGCCGACTGTGTGTTCAAGCGCACATCACTGTCCTTTCTTACTATAGTATTATAGTCTGATGCTAATAATCTGTTTATTAGGTCAAAAGCAGGACTTTTACTTATTGTATTATTTATATTAATATCTAAGTGAGTAATGTGTTGACTCTGTTACATTAGGCGCGTTCACACCGGAGTACTTTTCCCCGTACTTTTCCCGTTTAGTTGCGTTAGTACCCCTTATTTTGCGTTCACACGAAAAAGAGTACTTAGTGCCGGGAACTTTTACCCCCATTTTAAGTCCCTGCTAGAGAGGTGGGACTATCCTGGGGAGAAAAAGTACCAATTTCTGATTGGCTGGGCGAATTGCAAACCACGCCCCGTAAAACTCTGAAATGTTTTGTGAAGCCGCCATTGTATTTGCTGGCATTAGCATTATTAGCATTAGCATTAGCCCCGCGCACCAACGGAGAGAGAATAACTTATGGCAACACAAAAAAAAACATGGGAGCGGTGGAGATGAGGAGGTGTCTGAAGCCAGTCCCCAACTCCGGGGACTCCGGGTGGCAGTATACGCCGTGAAGTGGTTTGCGGCCTGCCAGTAAACCCAAAGCAGAAGAAGAAGAAGTGACGTCAGCGGCTTCATTTGAGTAATCTTCCCTCAGGAACTTATTCCGGTGTGAACGCGATAAATAAAATCAAACGTGAAAAAAAGTCTGATTTTTTTCAGAGTGAGATTTTTGAGAAAAATGTCAGGAATTTGAAAAAAGTTAGAAATATGTTAGAAGGAATTTGAAAAAAGTGAGATTTTGGAAAAAATAAGTCTACATTTTCATAAAAAATCAGAAATGTTTCAACAAATTGAGATTTTTGTGAAAAAGTTGGAATTATGAAAAAATCAGGAAATGGAATTTGGAAAAAACGAATTGTTTTTTAAAGAAGATGATTAGGGCCTGTGTAAAAAAAGAAAGATCCCATAAAGCAGATTCAGGCAGTAGAGATAGAATCACACTTAAAGTATTACAGAACAGAACAGCTGACAGAGAAGAGAGAACAGCTGATCCTTTGCAACAAACACTATGTGCTCTTTTTAGGGTTTAATAACACTGTAATCCTGCTGGTAATCCACACGTTTTAGAAATGTAACTGTAAGGGAATACAGTTCCTTTTTGTTGTATCCTAATAATCCCTTTACATGGAATCCATTACTCCCCAGACCTGTGAAATACAGGAACTCAACATATGTTGTAGCTGGGAGTGCTGGGACTGAAGGACATATGGAGGGGGGGGGGGGTACAACGATGCATAATATCCCATAATGCACTGCACCTCCTGCTTCTGTGCCGCGAGAACAGAGCTTCCTGCATATGCAAAGGTTTTTACTAAAACTGTAATCACATTCCTTTAACAACCTTTATGATATCAGTCCATCTTCCTATCATCATCAGAGAGAATTTAAGAGCTTTATCTGTTTTAACCACCAGAGGGCGCCATAGTACTGATGTTCTTCTTCTGCCAGACTAGTGCAATAACACTGTGTGTGTGTGTGTGTGTGTGTGTGGTGTGTGTGTGTGTGTGTGTGTGTGTGTGTGTGTGTGTGTGTGTGTGTGTGTGTGTGTGTGTGTGTGTGTGTGTGTGTGTGTGTGTGTGTGTGTGTGTGTGTGTGTGTGTGTGTGTGTGTGTGTGTGTGTGTGTGTAGGGTTTGTTTTACCAACATTATTACTCAACTGTCACTGGATGTGTGTGTGTGTGTGTGTGTGTGTGTGTGTGAGAGTGTGTGTGTGTGTGTGTGTGTGTGTGTGTGTGTGAGAGTGTGTGTGTGTGTGTGTCGGGGGGATTTATATTTGTATATGGAAAGTTAAGATTAGATTTTTGGCTTGTTGTGGATCTTATTTAGAGTTTGTTTTACCAACATTATTATTAATAGAGTGTGTGTGTGTGAGTGTGAGTGTGAGTGTGAGTGTGAGTGTGAGTGTGAGTGTGAGTGTGAGTGTGAGTGTGTGTGTGTGTGTGTGTGTGTGTGTGTGTGTGTGTGTGTGTCTCATTTCTGTTTAAGTTTTATTACGCCTTGGTCGGCAATGTACGAAAATCAATAAGCATTCATCTTTGTGGAAATATTGGATTTGTGCAGTGTCTATTGCATCAATGACCGAATGCAGTACTTTATTATACACTCAAAGAGGCCCTTAAGCTCGTTGGTATTGTCCCTCTCCTGTTGGGTGTTATCATGAAAAGAGAAATATGAGACATGATCCTCTGTAAGCTCTCTTTCTCTTCTCCTTCCCTCTCTAATCTCACTCAGCCTTGACTATCTTTACTTATCCAACTCTTGTCCTTTCTTCTTCTTCCATTTGCTACTTCCTCCCTTCAGGGTCTGAAGGTGGGACTGAAGACCTTTGTGTGTCTACAAACAGAAATGATTGGCACAGAGAGTTGAATAGCTGAGTGTTAAACCTTGACAGCTCGTTGCTTTTGAATGTCACATGGAGCAGCTGCAGCCTTCTTCACACCTGTTGCTCTCCTGCTTCATTTCATTTCAAACCTTTATTTAACCAGGTGAATCGCATCGATCTCTTTTTCAAGGGAGACCTGCTGCGAGTAGGTTCCACATGAAGACAGAAAAACAGAAAACAACAGAAAAACAACATAGATACAGGGATTACAATTTACATACCTAACGACATTTACAGGTACCAACCGTATCAGATTGCATAGCATCTATCCGAGCTTTAAAAACATGCAGAGGAACCAAATTGCTCAGTTTCCATTCTTTTTGCAGACTATTCCAAGTTAGAGGAGCTGCGCATCTAAAAGCTTTCGTCCCTAAGACAGTCCTTGCACTTGGCACATTTAACAAAACCACAGCATGAGATCTCAGGCAATAGCTACTTTCAATTCGCCGTGTGATCAGAGAGCAGATGTAAGGTGGTAGTTTATCCAACATGGCTTTGTAGATGAACATGTACCAGTGACTGAGCCTCCGTACAGTTACGGAGCGTCCACACAGCAGCGTTAAAAAATCTTGAAACGCTTCTGCCCATTCACTTTGAATGGGGTGACGTCACTTTCCCTCACTTTTCGCCGAACTGCATTGTGGGAAGCAGAGCGGAGATTCTCAGGATTTTCAGGATTCAAAAGTTGAGCAATGTTCAACTTTTGAAGCTGAGGTGGAAGCGTCAGCCAATCAAATCCCGTGTACGCAAATCTGACAGTTCAAGCTCTAGCCAATCAAATGGCGTGTATGCTGGGAGAGACATACTGCAGGTCATTTCCTCATATTCCAAAACATGGAGGAGAAATGAGCGGTAGGGAATCACCCGGTGCTTTATGACCAGTCCCTATTTACCTACCGGGATACAAACCGGAGGAGCCAGGCATGGAGGGAGGTGGCAGAGACAGTGGTAGGTCTTCGCCTGTTTAGGGAGTTTATATCCAGTTTACTACAAACTTTTTTGCATCGTATGTCGGGGGCGGGAGATTCATGTGATTGGTTGTTGGTGCCTTGCTCGCAAAAAATCCCCAAGCTTCAGATACGCCCACCTCCAAGATTTTTTTAACGCTGCTGTGTGGACGGGCCGTTAGTGAAGGCAAACCAGCTCTGGCATACAGGGTACAGTGATGAGTTAATACTTTACAGTTAGTAACACATCTTAGTGCACTGTGATAGGCGGCATCTAACTTGATCAGGTAATGGGCAGGTGCATTCATATAGATCAGATCACCATAGTCCAGCACAGGTAAAAAGGTCACAGAGCCTTTTCCTGGCCTCAAGTGAGAAACAGGACTTGTTTCTGAAAAAGAAACCCAGCTTCACTCTCAGCTTTCTAAGCAGATTATTGACCTGAAGTTTAAAAGAGAGGCAATTATCAAGCTAGATACCAAGGTATTTGTAACAGGCAACCACTTCAAGTACTTGTCCTTGCGTAGTAACAATATCCAAAGTGGTGCTTCATTCAGAGCTTTAGTTATAGGGAATACATTTGGAGGAAAGCATGTATGGAGTGGTGCAGACAGGCTATAAAGGAACTACAGCACGGTCACATGACTTCACGTCACCACCGCTAAGCTAAAGGCGGCTAATGTTGGGCTATAAAGGAACTACAGCACGGTCACATGACTTCACGTCACCACCGCTAAGCTAAAGGAGGCTAATGTTGGGCTATAAAGGAACTACAGCACGGTCACATGACTTCACGTCACCACCGCTAAGCTAAAGGTGGCTAATGTTGGGCTATAAAGGAACTACAAGCACGGTCACATGACTTCACGTCACCACCGCTAAGCTAAAGGAGGCTAATGTTGGGCTATAAAGGAACTACAGCACGGTCACATGACTTCACGTCACCACCGCTAAGCTAAAGGTGGCTAATGTTGGGCTATAAAGGAACTACAGCACGGTCACATGACTTCACGTCACCACC